ATAGAAAAGACCTACTACATTTTATTGGGACCCAAATCATCAAATGAAATTCAACTTCAGATAGACAATGTTAACATCAGCAACAAAAATGATAGAAAGTTCCTTGGCCTATACATAGGTAAGAGACTCAACTTCAGCACTCAAATACAGCACATAGCCACTAAAGTCTATAAAACTGTATACTGTACTCTCTAAAATAAGATATTATGTTCCCCAATCTGCTCTCCTCTCATTATACTATCCCCATCTTCGTGGTGCAGTGGTAAGACACTCACCTGGCGTTCTGCGAGCGCTTTGTCATGGGTTCGTATCCTGGCCGGGGAGGATTTACTGGGCGCAAATCCTTAACTGTAGCCTCTGTTTAACTCAACAGTAAAATGAGTACTAGGTTGTAATAACGATTCTTCGTGGCGGGAATCGTATTCCAGGGACCTGCCCAAAATGCTACACGTACTAGTGGCTGTACAAGAATGTAACAACTCTTGTATATATCTCAAAAAAAAAAAGATCTTACATATCTTATCTGTGCTTGGTGTTCAATTACTGCAAATTACCTCAAGCTCATCATCATCCAGCAAAAATCTGCTATCAGAACAATAACTAACTCTATTTTCAGACAACACACAGCCCCTCTGTTTAAATCCCTAAACAATGCTAAACATACACTCACTCCACACATTCTCTTGTGTCATTTACATGTACAAAACCTTGTTCCTAAATGCATGATCTGAAACTCTCCCTTGACAGATGTAATAGAACCCATAATCACCACACCATAAATAAATATCTAAATCTTTGCAAACATTATGCAAATAAAATGACCTAGTCTAAGGAACTCACTCCCTAACAAAGTAAAAAGCTGCCCAACCAGCCTTATTCAAAAGCAAAGCCAAAAAGTACCTAATTTCATCCTCATAGTTTCCTACCTAGTGCTTCAAACTAGCACTGTATCTTGTGCTGCTCACTTCCCCAATACTGTATATGTGCTTAAGACATGCAGCTTCACCAATGTAATCACTGCTATCAACTTATATCATAGTTGTTAGGTTGAATGCAAATTTTGCTACAATGTACCCATTAATAGTCATCAAATTATGCTACAATGTACCTGTTGATACTCCTCAAATTTTCTGTCAATGTACCTATTAATATTCTTCATATTTTGCTACAAATTATCTGCTTATTAATTTATTTATTTATATATATACAAGAAGGTACATTGGGGGTTAAGAGAGAACATGGAGTTTAAGTTGAAATTACAATCTTGTAAAGCCACTAGCATGCATAGCGTTTCGGGCAAGTCCTTAAACTAACCTTAGAGCAAATCCTTAAACTAACAGAAAGTTTTAGAGAAATAAGAGTAAAATTGATAAAAAGTGTTTAACAGGTACTTTACAGCTTTTACAGATGATTTTAAGTAGGATAATTACAGTAAGATTGTCAAAAAAAAAATTTACAGGTACATTGCAAGAATTTTTGACACAAAAGCAGATCAGAACAATACACAATAATAACAATACACAATAATGAACAAGGAATTACTTAAAATGATCTTTTAGATTAAGAACCTTTCTGAAATGCTATGCATGTTAGTGGCTTTACAAGAATGTAAAGCTGTAAAGACATCAGTGCTATGTATTCTCATAAACCCAATGTACCTTCTTGTATAAATAAATAAATATATACTGTGGTAAATATACAGCACAGTCTCTGTGGTGTAGTGGTAAGACACTCGCCTGGCGTTCCGCGAGCGCTTTGTCATGGGTTCGTATCCTGGCCGGAGAGGATTTATTGTGCGCAAATCCTTAACCTCTGCCTCTGTTTAACTCAACAGTAAAATGGGTACTTGGTTGTAACAACGATTCTTCGCAGTGGGGATCGTATTCCAGGGACCTGCCCGAAATGCTATGCGTACTAGTGGCTGTACAAGAATGTAACAATTCTTGTAAATATCTAAAAAAAAATATATATATATAAATAAATAAATAAATAAATAAATAAATAAATAAATAAATAATCATTATTGCCTATAGTCCACCAGGAACCAACACATGGACTAGAGAAGAACTAAATAACAAAAGAGAGGATCCTATAAAAATCACGAAGGAGATTATAATCAAAACAGATAAAGATAAATTTCGTTTTTGATATATGGTGAATTCAATTTGAAATCAATAGACTGGGAAGTCTATGAAGCAAGGACAGAGGACATCTGGACTGGCAAATTCATAAACATCATTTTGGAGTTTTTCATGTACAGTATCATCATGTTAAACAGGCCATGAGAGTGAGAGAAGAGCATGCTTCATCATTGCTGGATTTGATATTTACCAGGAAAGAAGGAAGATACTGTGTATTTGAAATTCAGGAAAGAAGAATAAATACAGTATTTGATATTTAGCACCTTCCTCTATTGGTTAAGAGCAACCATGTCCTTTTTAAAATCAGATATGCAATGCATTATAATCTAGTTTAGATTAAGAAAAGGGGAATACAGTAGTGGAAATCAATATTTCAAGAGAGGACACTATGGAAAACTTAGCAAGTTTATTTTTATGAAAAGAAATTGAAGTTGAAGATTTTTTTTTAATTGGCTCATCTCAGATGTTAAAGTTTTCATTGACTATTACAGGGTTCAGTTTCATGAATAAAATTGCCTTATTTTTAACTTGCCTTTTAATATTAATGGTAATACTGCATTGTGATTCTCTAAATGCATTTTTCTTGAGATAAAGTCAGTGTTACCACAGGGTTCTGTATCATAGTGGTCATCACCATCTGGTCACAGCCAAAAGGTTTTGGGTTTAATTCCCATAGCAAAAGCAGCCCGTCCTCCAAAAACGGGAAGGTAAATGTAACAGCCCCATAAGTGTAATTATGTACTATATATGACAGTCAGGAATTGTACTTATTTTCACTTAGTATTAAATCGTACTGTCAAATATATTGTGAATATTTGAGTTTACCTGAAAAGCTGAATAGAACTCCATGACCTAACCTAACCTTCTACCTCAAACTACCTCAAGCCCATCATCATCCAGCAAAAATCTGCTATCAGGACAATAACTCTGCCTTCAGACAACACACAGCGCCCTTGTTCAAATCCTTAAACATGCTAAACATAAATTCACTCCATACATTCTCCTGTTTAAATTACGTTTATAAAACCCTCTTTCTAAGTGCAAACCCTGTTCTGAAACTCTTCCTGGACAGATGTAATAGATCACATGCCCACCACACCAGACATAAATATTGCTTTGATATCCCCAGAGTCAAACTTAATCTATGTAAACACTCTGCTCTAAAGTCTATGGAACTCACTCCCTAATGATTTGAAAAGCTGTCCACCTTTTGTCTTATTCAAAAATAAAACCAAAAAGTATCTAATTTCATCTTCATAGTTTTCTACCATGGGCTTTATCTTCACACTGTATCTAGTGCTACCCAATCCCCCAATATTTGTACCTAAGCCATATTACTTTAACATTGTAATCTTAGATATCATCTGATATCATGGTTGTTGTATCGAGTGCATTTTCTACTGCATTATTCGTTGAAACTTTTCCTCGAAATGACCCTCATATTGTGCTTCAGTGAACCAATGTATAACCCTGAAATGCTATCCTCATGTACTTAGTAATCCTTGTTTCTTTATTGTGTATTGTTATTATTGTGTATTATTCTGATCTGCTTTTGTGTCAAAATTTCTTCAAATTATCTGTAAATATTTTTTATTGATTTTACTGTAAATATTATACTTAAAATTATCTGTACCTGTAAAGAAAAGCTGTAAAATACCTACTAACATTTTTTATCAATTTTACTGTTAATCTATCAAAAAAAATTCTGTTAGTTTAAAGACTTGCCCGAAACGCTATGCGTGCTAGTGGCTTTACTAGAATGTTAATTCAAGTTATTTTTTATATTCTCTGTTAACCCCCAATGTAACTTCTTGTATATAAATAAATAAATAAATAAATAACCTAAGTTTTTGAAGATAAGCATTGTATTGCTTCTTAATTACAATACTACTTAACCTATAGCTATATTGATATTAGTTTTATAAAACAAATAAAAGGAAACTAAAATATTTCAGTAAATTGTAAAGTAACTCAGGTTATTTTCATTTTTTTTTATAAAATCTCTATTGTTTAATGAAACTGAAAAAGAAATTCCTGATATTTAAAACTTGTGTATAGGAAACTGACTTTAAAACTTCATCCTAAAATAAATGTAACAGCCCCATAAGTGCAATTATGTACTATGTATGGCAGTCAGGAAATGTACTTATTACACTTAGTATTAAAACGTACTGTCAATTCAGAGGATGGGTTGTAGCCAGGGTATAGAGAACGTTTTCTTTTGTCTGATGCCTCTGTTCACCTAGCAGTACATAGGTAACCAGGAGTTAGAAAGTTGTTGTTGGTTGCATCCTGGGGAAGGTTAATAGTTGGCCTAGGGGGTCTTTGATAAGCCCAACAAGTTTACTCTCTCTATGGGAAGCGATATTCTATTAATGAGATTTTGTTTCCTCTGGTGACAAGGCAGCTCATCCTCCGAAGGTTTCCCAACATAAAAAACTGCCAAATTAAAGTGTCCTCTCCTAACCTATCAGAGGATCCAAAACAGAAAATGGGACAGTACTGTATGTTACTTTTGCGAGCTGCTTCCATTTTCAAGTACAGAGTGACAATTTGTGGGCTTATGTAATGCATATGAGTGAAAAGCGATATTCTTTGTATGTGGACAGATTGGACAAGGAGTAGTTTGCTTCCTTAGTGTTTCAGGGCCAGTTGGCATACATGTTCACTTCCAGTCAGTGTGAGGTGGGAAGTGCAAGCTTATGATGATATTTTATGTGAAGCATCATAGCAATGCTCATAGCCATGCCAGTAAAATGATATGCAAATAATAAAATAAATATACAATAATAAACAAATTCAAAACATATATCTACTGTCAGCAGTAAAAAATTAGGTACTTAAGTACAGACAATGAAAAAATAAGCGAGCACTTTATTGTCGGACTAACTGTAGTATCACATTCAATTTTTTTATACATTTTGCATCTTAATAATATGAAGCACAGAAGAAGCTATCTCCAGTGTGCATATAGCAGAAAGCAACGATTCTTAGCTGAGTGAGACCATCAAAATAATAAATGAACCCAAGACTTGAATAGGCTTAACAGTAACAAAATTATAAAAATCTTAGAGAATACAGTGGCCATCCCAAAAATCACAAAGCGAATGTCATCCTTCAGGAATTACATGCTATGAGGAAGCATCAGTTCCTTGGCACTTTTTATATTGGACTCATATATAATGATGACTTTTGTGAATTTTGAAATGTATGCAGCAATTAGCAGCTATATACATACTGTATACATAAAGTGATTTGCATTAAGAGTCTGTGACTGTTAAATGAAACAATAAGTGTGCATGAAAACTGTTGATACACATGGAGCTGTGCAAGCAGAAATGTGTGTTTTTGTATACAGTACATGTGCTTGTGCATGTTTGTGTCTGGATTCAGTGTTGTTCCAAGAGTAGGAGTATTATTTTCCCAGGGCACTTAAACAGACTCAGGATCAATAAATTTTAATTTATTGCCTTGTCTCAAGCTTGGGTATTATAGTGGCCATCGTTGTTGTGAACACTTGAAGGTGGCGAGACACCACTCCTCGCCTCCCAGCTGACTTATGGCACCAACAAACTTGCAGCTTGACTCTCGCCAAGCTCCAACACAAAGTAAAAGTCATCTAACACAATCAGTTTCTCTAATAAATAAATAATACATCCATAGAAGAAAAAGTATTAAACTTCATATTTATATAAACTGTATTTTCATTTAAAAATGCTTTAAATGCATAAATGCACATATCTTTCAATATAAAAACACATAAATTAAACAACCAAGCACCATTTTGAGAAAAAAGCTATAGCCCAGTGTGGTAAGAAAACTGAGGTCTGGGCTGGGCCACAGGCTGAGTCAGTAGGTCACAACATGCCGGGGGCCAAGCCGTCTGTCTTGGGCCTAATATGGCCGGGGACAGAGGCTCACTGAACAGCCACCATCTATTGTTGCTCGTTGAGAGATGTCCCTGATCTTAACGAGTAAGAACAGATCAGTGGCGCTGCCAGTAACTACACTATGTTACTACAGTACTTAATTCTAGAGTGAACAAAATATATCCCTTTCAATGACTAAGCCATAATTAATATAAAAGCATGTATTGTCATCTTTTGATTAGAAAAATCTATTCTTAGTCAAGATTATATAAAAATAGGAAGTGAGCTTGTGATGTCATTCTTTAACAATGTCTATGATCAAATAATAAACAGCTTTCTTAGTAGCTGACTAGTTAAACTAAAATTTCTTTCTTAATTCATCACAGTTTGAAGCTTTTATTGTATATACACCGGAGTAGGTCATAAGGCAGTAAAAATCACAGGTTAAAATGAGCATTGCTGTGCATAAAAAAGAAAGACCCTTTTGGTCTCCAGGAGATAAAAAATAGTAAATTTTAATATTATAAGGAATGTCAAGTCCTCTATGCTTTAGCATCTCGATCACTCAACTATCGGAAGATAGAATTTGTGATCTTTTCCACTATGTGCAGGTTTGTAAGTAGATGCTCTGGTCTCAAGAAGGGAGGCTGGGCAGGGCGTAACAATCTGCCACTCACCCCGTCTAGTTATAGTCGCATCATGCCAAGGGTCATACTCAGAGTGAAAGGTGATTGATGAGGAGTTACCACGACCTCGGGCCACTCGCTGCTCAGTCCGACTGGTGCTGCTGCTGGACACTCGCCGCTGCTCACTCTGCTGCTGGTGATTTGCAGACCATTTACGATACTCTTCTTGGGTCCCCCCTACTGTGTGGGAGGAGTGGGTTGTTCCATGCACTGTGTCTGTCTTGCTGCTGCCACGAAGATCGAGGGCATCAGCCTGACGAAGAGATGATGCCATCTCTCGTGTGGAGGCTGTTGATTCTAATTTTTTATCTAGACTAATTTGACTATTGGAGGCCGATTTCTGAACTCCACTGGTGCGTGTTCTAGTTTCCATTACACTTACATCTTCACCAAGGGAAAAGGAGGACTGGTTGTGCCGAGGGCGACCTGAAGGTGTAGTGGGAGAAGTTCCTGGCTGAGGAGATCTTGCCTTTAATGTCTGACCATTTGATGATCCTTGAGTTGTAACAGTACTTGAAGATTCAATCTTAGCTTCAGCAGAAGATATCTTCCGCTGTTCTGAGGTACTCTTTACACTTGTGGCTCTAGACTCTACTCTTGAGGCTGACTTAGTCTCTCGGCTTTCTTTGGTAATGACCCTTGTAACTTTTCGACCATCAGCAGTGTATGACTCAATTGTCTGTACATCTCTTTGTGAACCCGAGTCAATTTTATCTGAGCTGGACTTTTGAACAGATTTTGTTTCCTCTGTTTTAGTGGCCACTGTTTCTCCGGATTTTAGTACAACTGTATCTCTCCGGCTCTTTGTGCTGCTTGCTGCTGCAGCAGTGACTTTAGTTTCTTTAACCTCTGCCTTTCCATTGGTAATGCTGCTGTCCCTTCTGGACCCAGTGAATTCCCCCTCTAACGTTAGACTGTCCCCATGCTTTGTCGGAGAAACTCTATCACCTTTACCTGGAGAAGTGCGACCTCGTCCTTCAAAGTCACCTTCCATTTTGAGATTATCTGGATAACGTTTTTGTGGAAGACGTTCACCAGCTCCTGGGCTTTTTGCACTACCTGTACCTTCAAAGTCACCCTCTGATTTGAGGTTATCTGGATACCTCTTCTGTGTAAATCGGTCACCTACTCCTGGGCTCTCTTTTGGTTTCGCCTCAAAACTACCTTCCATTTTTAGATTGTCTGGATATCGTTTTTGAGGAAGTCGCTCACCCACTCCTGGGCTATCCTTGGAGCGCCCATCAATGTCACCCTCTAGTCTGAGGTTGTCTGGATGTCTCTTTTGTGGAAGACGGTCACCTTTTCCAGGAGAGCCTTTCCTTCTGCCTTCAAAGTCACCTTCCATTTTAAGGTTGTCATCATATTTATATGGTGATGGCCGTTCTCCCGTGCCTGGTGAGCCTTTTGGTCGTCCATCAAAAGTGCCACTAACTGAAAGATTGTCTTTTGGTTTCTTCACTTCTGCCCTGTCTCCTTTGATTGGGCTAACTTCAGGTGAGTGATTATAGAATTCACCCTCAATCTTTAAGTTGTCCTGATGTTTCGTTATTTGTGCTCTTTCTCCTTTCACTCTGAAAGTTTCATTTCTCTTTACTCCATCTTTAGTAGGAGTACTTGTTCTCTGGAACCCTTCAAATTTTCCCTCCATCTTCAGATTATCTTCATGTTTTCTAATTTCAACACGTTCTCCTTTGAATGTTGATGCACTCTTTCTTCTTCCCTCAAAGTTACCTTCCATCTTCAAATGGTCTTCATGCTTCTTGATTGCCACCCGTTCACCTTTTGTGATAATAGTAGATTCCTTTGAGACATCCAGTGTCCCTTCCATTTTCAAGTGATCTTCTTGTTTCTTAATTACAGCTCTTTCACCCTTTACAACTGAAGTCTTGCGAGCTCCATCAAATTCTCCTTCTTGTTTAAGGTTGTCCTTTGGTTTCTTTACATCTGCTCTTTCACCTTTTCCAAAAGTGGCAGACTTTCTACGGCCCTCAAATTTCCCTTCCATTTTAAGTGAGTCTTCATGCTTTTTAATAACAGCTCTCTCTCCCTTCATTACTGAAGTCTTCTTTTCAATACTCAAGTCTCCTTCCATCTTCAAATTATCTCGTTGCTTCTTGATTTCAGCTCTCTCACCTTTTTGTACAATAGCCGTTTCCTTCTTTCCTTCAAACTCACCCTCAGTTTTCAGGTGATCTTGCTGTTTTTTTATTTCAGCTCTCTCTCCCTTTGTTGCCATTTCTTTTTTAGTGATGATCATATCTCCTTCAAGTTTCAGAGAATCTTCATGTTTTTGTACAGTTACCCTTTCACCTTTAGTAGCATATGATGTTTTTGTGATTTCCAGCTCTCCTTCCATTTTAAGATTGTCAGCATGCTTAGAAATTTGTGCTCTCTCACCCCTAATTGCTGCCTCATCTTTAACAAAGGTCATGTCACCCTCCATGCGGAGATTGTCAGTGTGTCTCGTAACATCAGCTCGTTCACCTTTAGTAGCTGCAGACTTCCTCCATCCTTCAAAGCTCCCTTCCATTTTTAATGAATCTTCATGTCTCTTAATTGTAGCCCGTTCACCTTTCAGAGGGCTTTCAAGAGGTTTTCCTTCAAATGTACCTTCCATTTTAAGATTGTCTGGGTACTTCTTAATAGAAGCACGTTCTCCGTGAGGAGCTTCCTCGGTTGGTTTTCCCTCAAATTCTCCATCTGTGCGTAGATGATCAGGATGGTGGACAACAGGAGCTCGCTCTCCCCTTACTGGAGCTTTATCATGATGACGTCCAGTAAACTCTCCCTCCATGTGTAGGTTGTCATCATATTTCTTAATTTCAGCTCGAACTCCCTTATGAATTTTATATTCTTCTCTTTGGAGGGTGTCATGATGATATGTGCCTTCAATGGTAAGGTTGTCAGCATGCTTTACTGTTTGGGCTCGCTGTACCTGATGGAGCTGATAATCATCACTAAATTGTGTCTTGCCCATAAATTCTCCTTCCTGTCTTAGGGTATCAGATTGGCGATGAACCTCACTGCGAATACCAGAAACTACTGGATAATCAAAGTGTGTGCTTGACTGACCAGTCCATTCACCTTCCATATGCAGATTATCTTCGTGACGTTTTATTTGTGCTCTTTCTCCATGCACAGTCTCATCTTTTGGGCGACCACTAAAGTCACCTTCTGGCCTCAGATGATCAGGATGCCTCTTGACTGGAGCACGTTCAAAATGTGGAGCATCCCCTGGTGTAGGAGCATAGAAATCCCCAGTCATTCTAAGATTGTCAGGATGTTTTTTGACAGGTGCTCTCTCTCCCTTGGTAACTTGCTCGTACTCCTTACCAATAAACTCTCCTTCCATACGTAAGTTGTCTTCACGACGAACAACATCAACCCTTTCTCCACGAATGATTCTGTACTCATCTTCCTTCCCATGGAATTTCCCTGTCATTCGAAGGTTATCATCATGTTTTTTAATTGGAGCCCGTTCGCCTCGTGGAGCATCTTCAGGTGATGGTGCATAGAAATCACCATCCATATGAAGGTTATCAGGATGTTTCTTAACTGGAGCCCTCTCAGCATAAGGAGCATCTTCTCTAGGCTTTCCTTCAAAGTCACCAACCATCCTCAAATTGTCAGGATGCTTTTTCACAGGAGCACGGTCTCCTTTTGGAGCATCTTCTGGTAATGGTGCATAGAAATCTCCATCCATACGAAGGTTATCAGGATGTTTTGTGACAGGGGCTCTCAGTGCATATGGTGCGTCTTCACGTGGCTTCCCTTCAAAGTCACCAGCCATCTTAAGGTTATCAGGATGTTTCTTGACAGGAGCACGTTCTCCTCTTGGAGCGTCTCCCGGTGTTGGAGCATAGAAATCTCCATCCATACGAAGATTGTCAGGATGTTTTGTGACAGGGGCTCTCTGTGCATATGGCGCATCTTCACGTGGCTTTCCTTCAAAGTCACCAGCCATCTTAAGGTTATCAGGATGTTTCTTGACTGGAGCACGTTCTCCTCTTGGAGCCTCTCCAGGTGTTGGTGCATAGAAATCTCCATCCATACGAAGATTGTCAGGATGTTTCTTTACGGGAGCTCTTGCTGCATAAGGTGCATCTTCTCGAGGCTTTCCTTCAAAGTCTCCAATCATCTTAAGGTTGTCAGGATGCTTCTTCACAGGAGCACGTTCTCCTCTTGGAGCTTCTCCAGGTGTTGGAGCATAGAAATCTCCATCCATATGAAGATTGTCAGGATGTTTTGTAACAGGGGCTCTTTGTGCATACGGTGCATCTTCTCGAGGTTTTCCTTCAAAGTCACCAGCCATCTTAAGGTTATCAGGATGTTTCTTGACTGGAGCACGTTCTCCTCTTGGAGCCTCTCCAGGTGTTGGAGCATAGAAATCTCCATCCATACGAAGATTGTCTGGATGTTTTGTGACAGGGGCTCTCTGTGCATAGGGAGCATCTTCACGTGGCTTTCCTTCAAAGTCACCAGCCATCTTAAGGTTATCAGGATGTTTCTTGACTGGAGCACGTTCTCCTCTTGGAGCCTCTCCAGGTGCTGGAGCATAGAAATCTCCATCCATACGAAGATTGTCTGGATGTTTTGTGACAGGGGCTCTCTGTGCATATGGTGCATCTTCACGTGGCTTTCCTTCAAAGTCACCAGCCATCTTAAGGTTATCAGGATGTTTCTTGACTGGAGCACGTTCTCCTCTTGGGGCATCTTCAGGTGATGGTGCATAGAAATCACCATCCATACGAAGATTATCTGGATGTCTTTTGACAGGAGCCCTTTCTGCATGTGGTGCATCTTCATATATTTTTCCAGTAAACTCACCAACCATTCGAAGATTGTCTTCGTATTTTCTAACTGTTGCCCTCTCACCAATTGTTACCTGCTCATGTTCTTTTCCAATAAATTCTCCTTCCATGCGCAAGTTGTCTTCTCTTCGAACGACTTGCACTCTTTCTCCTCGAGTAATTGTGTGTTCTTCTTTTCCTTGGAATTCTCCTGTCATGTGCAGATTGTCAGCTTGTCGCTTTACTGAAGCTCGTTCACCACGTGGAGCTTCTTCAGGTATAGGAGCAATAAAATCACCTTCCATGCGCAGATTGTCAGGATGTTTCTTTACGGGAGCTCTTGTTGCATAGGGTGCATCTTCACGAGGCTTTCCTTCAAAGTCACCAGCCATCTTAAGGTTATCGGGATGCTTCTTGACTGGCGCACGTTCTCCTCTTGGAGCCTCTCCAGGTGTTGGAGCATAGAAATCTCCATCCATATGAAGATTGTCAGGATGTTTTGTAACAGGGGCTCTTTGTGCATACGGTGCATCTTCCCGAGGCTTTCCTTCAAAGTCACCTGCCATCTTAAGGTTATCTGGATGTTTCTTGACTGGAGCACGTTCTCCTCTTGGAGCCTCTCCAGGTGTTGGAGCATAGAAATCTCCATCCATACGAAGGTTATCAGGATGTTTTGTGACAGGGGCTCTCTGTGCATATGGTGCATCTTCACGTGGCTTTCCTTCAAAGTCACCAGCCATCTTAAGGTTATCAGGATGTTTCTTGACTGGAGCACGTTCTCCTCTTGGAGCCTCTCCAGGTGTTGGAGCATAGAAATCTCCATCCATACGAAGATTGTCTGGATGTTTTGTGACAGGGGCTCTTTGTGCATACGGTGCATCTTCCCGAGGCTTTCCTTCAAAGTCACCTGCCATCTTAAGGTTATCAGGATGTTTCTTGACTGGAGCACGTTCTCCTCTTGGAGCCTCTCCAGGTGTTGGAGCATAGAAATCTCCATCCATACGAAGGTTATCAGGATGTTTTGTGACAGGGGCTCTCTGTGCATATGGTGCATCTTCACGTGGCTTTCCTTCAAAGTCACCAGCCATCTTAAGGTTATCAGGATGTTTCTTGACTGGAGCACGTTCTCCTCTTGGAGCCTCTCCAGGTGTTGGAGCATAGAAATCTCCATCCATACGAAGATTGTCTGGATGTTTTGTGACAGGGGCTCTCTGTGCAAACGGTGCATCTTCCCGAGGCTTTCCTTCAAAGTCACCAGCCATTTTAAGGTTATCAGGATGTTTCTTGACTGGAGCACGTTCTCCTCTTGGAGCCTCTCCTGGTGTTGGGGCATAGAAGTCTCCATCCATACGAAGATTGTCTGGATGTTTTGTGACAGGGGCTCTCTGTGCATATGGTGCATCTTCCCGAGGTTTTCCTTCAAAGTCACCAGCCATCTTAAGGTTATCAGGATGTTTCTTGACTGGAGCACGTTCTCCTCTTGGAGCCTCTCCAGGTGTTGGAGCATAGAAATCTCCATCCATACGAAGGTTATCAGGATGTTTTGTGACAGGGGCTCTCTGTGCATATGGTGCATCTTCACGTGGCTTTCCTTCAAAGTCACCAGCCATCTTAAGGTTATCAGGATGTTTCTTGACTGGAGCACGTTCTCCTCTTGGAGCCTCTTCAGGTGTTGGGGCATAGAAATCTCCATCCATACGAAGATTATCAGGATGTTTTGTGACAGGGGCTCTCTGTGCATATGGTGCATCTTCCCGAGGTTTTCCTTCAAACTCACCAGCCATCTTAAGGTTATCAGGATGTTTCTTGACTGGAGCACGTTCTCCTCTTGGAGCCTCTCCAGGTGTTGGAGCATAGAAATCTCCATCCATACGAAGATTGTCTGGATGTTTTGTGACAGGGGCTCTCTGTGCATATGGTGCATCTTCCCGTGGCTTTCCTTCAAAGTCACCAGCCATCTTAAGGTTATCAGGATGTTTCTTTACTGGAGCACGTTCTCCTCTTGGGGCATCTTCAGGTGATGGTGCATAGAAATCCCCATCCATACGAAGATTATCTGGATGTCTTTTGACAGGAGCTCTTTCTGCATGTGGTGCATCTTCATATGTTTTCCCAGTAAACTCGCCAACCATTCGAAGATTGTCTTCATGTTTTCGAATTGTTGCTCTCTCACCAATTGTTACCTGCTCATGTTCTTTTCCAATAAATTCTCCTTCCATGCGCAAGTTGTCTTCTCTTCGAACGACTTGCACTCTTTCTCCTCGAGTAATTTTGTGTTCTTCTTTTCCTTGGAATTCTCCTGTCATGTGCAGATTGTCAGCTTGTCGCTTTACTGGAGCTCGTTCACCACGTGGAGCTTCTTCAGGTATAGGAGCAATGAAATCACCTTCCATGCGCAGATTGTCAGGATGTTTCTTTACAGGAGCTCTTGCTGCATGGGGTGCATCTTCACGTGGCTTTCCTTCAAAGTCACCAGCCATCTTTAGGTTATCGGGATGTTTCTTGACTGGAGCACGCTCTCCTCTTGGAGCCTCTTCAGGTGTTGGAGCATAGAAATCTCCATCCATACGAAGATTATCTGGATGTTTTGTGACAGGGGCTCTCTGTGCATACGGTGCATCTTCCCGAGGCTTTCCTTCAAAGTCACCTGCCATCTTAAGGTTATCAAGATGTTTCTTGACTGGAGCACGCTCTCCTCTTGGAGCCTCTCCAGGTGTTGGAGCATAGAAATCTCCATCCATACGAAGATTGTCGGGATGTTTTGTGACAGGGGCTCTCTGTGCATAGGGAGCATCTTCACGTGGCTTTCCTTCAAAATCACCAGCCATCTTAAGGTTATCAGGATGTTTCTTGACTGGAGCACGTTCTCCTCTTGGAGCCTCTCCAGGTGTTGGAGCATAGAAATCTCCATCCATACGAAGATTGTCAGGATGTTTTGTGACAGGGGCTCTCTGTGCATATGGTGCATCTTCACGTGGCTTTCCTTCAAAGTCACCAGCCATCTTAAGGTTATCAGGATGTTTCTTGACTGGAGCACGTTCTCCTCTTGGGGCATCTTCAGGTGATGGTGCATAGAAATCCCCATCCATACGAAGATTATCTGGATGTCTTTTGACAGGAGCTCTTTCTGCATGTGGTGCATCTTCATATGTTTTCCCAGTAAACTCACCAACCATTCGAAGATTGTCTTCATGTTTTCGAATTGTTGCTCTCTCACCAATTGTTACCTGCTCATGTTCTTTTCCAATAAATTCTCCTTCCATGCGCAAGTTGTCTTCTCTTCGAACGACTTGCACTCTTTCTCCTCGAGTGATTGTGTGTTCTTCTTTTCCTTGGAATTCTCCTGTCATGTGCAGATTGTCAGCTTGTCGCTTTACTGGAGCTCGTTCACCACGCGGAGCTTCTTCAGGTATAGGAGCAATGAAATCACCTTCCATGCGCAGATTGTCAGGATGTTTCTTTACAGGAGCTCTTGCTGCATGGGGTGCATCTTCACGTGGCTTTCCTTCAAAGTCACCAGCCATCTTAAGATTATCGGGATGTTTCTTGACTGGAGCACGCTCTCCTCTTGGAGCCTCTTCATGTGTTGGAGCATAGAAATCTCCATCCATACGAAGATTGTCAGGATGTTTTGTGACAGGGGCTCTCTGTGCATACGGTGCATCTTCCCGAGGCTTTCCTTCAAAGTCACCTGCCATCTTAAGGTTATCAGGATGTTTCTTGACTGGAGCACGCTCTCCTCTTGGAGCCTCTCCAGGTGTTGGAGCATAGAAATCTCCATCCATACGAAGATTGTCGGGATGTTTTGTGACAGGGGCTCTCTGTGCATAGGGAGCATCTTCACGTGGCTTTCCTTCAAAATCACCAGCCATCTTAAGGTTATCGGGATGTTTCTTGACTGGTGCACGTTCTCCTCTTGGAGCCTCTCCAGGTGTTGGAGCATAGAAATCTCCATCCATACGAAGATTGTCAGGATGTTTTGTGACAGGGGCTCTCTGTGCATAGGGAGCATCTTCACGTGGCTTTCCTTCAAAATCACCAGCCATCTTAAGGTTATCGGGATGCTTCTTGACAGGAGCACGTTCTCCTCTTGGAGCCTCTCCAGGTGTTGGAGCATAGAAATCTCCATCCATACGAAGGTTGTCAGGATGTTTTGTGACAGGGGCTCTCTGTACAAATGGTGCATCTTCCCGGGGCTTTCCTTCAAAGTCACCAGCCATCTTAAGGTTATCAGGATGTTTCTTGACTGGAGCACGTTCTCCTCTTGGAGCCTCTCCAGGTGTTGGAGCATAGAAATCTCCATCCATACGAAGATTGTCAGGATGTTTTGTGACAGGGGCTCTCTGTGCATAGGGAGCATCTTCACGTGGCTTTCCTTCAAAGTCACCAGCCATCTTTAGGTTATCAGGATGCTTCTTGACAGGAGCACGTTCTCCTCTTGGAGCCTCTCCAGGTGTTGGAGCATAGAAATCTCCATCCATACGAAGGTTGTCTGGATGTTTTGTGACAGGGGCTCTCTGTGCATAGGGAGCATCTTCACGTGGCTTTCCTTCAAAGTCACCAGCCATCTTAAGGTTATCAGGATGTTTCTTAACTGGAGCACGTTCTCCTCTTGGAGCCTCTCCAGGTGTTGGAGCATAGAAATCTCCATCCATACGAAGATTGTCTGGATGTTTTGTGACAGGGGCTCTCTGTGCATATGGTGCATCTTCACGTGGCTTTCCTTCAAAGTCACCAGCCATCTTAAGGTTATCAGGATGTTTCTTGACTGGAGCACGTTCTCCTCTTGGAGCCTCTCCAGGTGTTGGAGCATAGAAATCTCCATCCATACGAAGATTGTCTGGATGTTTTGTGACAGGGGCTCTCTGTGCATAGGGAGCATCTTCACGTGGCTTTCCTTCAAAATCACCAGCCATCTTTAGGTTATCGGGATGTTTCTTGACAGGAGCACGTTCTCCTCTTGGAGCCTCTCCAGGTATTGGAGCATAGAAGTCTCCATCCATACGAAGATTGTCTGGATGTTTTGTGACAGGGGCTCTCTGTGCATATGGTGCATCTTCACGTGGCTTTCCTTCAAAGTCACCAGCCATCTTAAGGTTATCAGGATGTTTCTTGACTGGAGCACGTTCTCCTCTTGGAGCCTCTCCAGGTGTTGGTGCATAGAAATCTCCATCCATACGAAGATTGTCAGGATGTTTCTTTACGGGAGCTCTTGCTGCATAAGGTGCATCTTCTCGAGGCTTTCCTTCAAAGTCTCCAATCATCTTAAGGTTGTCAGGATGCTTCTTCACAGGAGCACGTTCTCCTCTTGGAGCTTCTCCAGGTGTTGGAGCATAGAAATCTCCATCCATATGAAGATTGTCAGGATGTTTTGTAACAGGGGCTCTTTGTGCATACGGTGCATCTTCTCGAGGTTTTCCTTCAAAGTCACCAGCCATCTTAAGGTTATCAGGATGTTTCTTGACTGGAGCACGTTCTCCTCTTGGAGCCTCTCCAGGTGTTGGAGCATAGAAATCTCCATCCATACGAAGATTGTCAGGATGTTTTGTGATAGGGGCTCTCTGTGCATAGGGAGCATCTTCACGTGGCTTTCCTTCAAAGTCACCGGCCATCTTTAGGTTATCGGGATGTTTCTTCACTGGAGCACGTTCTCCTCTTGGGGCATCTTCAGGTGATGGTGCATAGAAATCACCATCCATACGAAGATTATCTGGATGTCTTTTGACAGGAGCCCTTTCTGCATGTGGCGCATCTTCATATGTTTTTCCAGTAAACTCACCAACCATTCGAAGATTGTCTTCATGTTTTCTAACTGTTGCTCTCTCACCAATTGTTACCTGCTCATGTTCTTTTCCAATAAATTCTCCTTCCATGCGCAAGTTGTCTTCTCTTCGAACTACTTGCACTCTTTCTCCTCGAGTAATTGTGTGTTCTTCTTTCCCTTGGAATTCTCCTGTCATGTGCAGATTGTCAGCTTGTCGCTTTACTGGAGCTCGTTCACCACGTGGAGCTTCTTCAGGTATAGGAGCAATGAAATCACCTTCCATGCGCAGATTGTCAGGATGTTTCTTTACGGGAGCTCTTGCTGCATAGGGTGCATCTTCTCGAGGCTTTCCTTCAAAGTCACCAGCCATCTTAAGGTTATCGGGATGTTTCTTGACTGGAGCACGCTCTCCTCTTGGAGCCTCTCCAGGTGTTGGAGCATAGAAATCTCCATCCATACGAAGATTGTCTGGATGTTTTGTGACAGGGGCTCTCTGTGCATATGGTGCATCTTCCCGAGGCTTTCCTTCAAAGTCACCAGCCATCTTAAGGTTATCTGGATGTTTCTTGACTGGAGCACGTTCTCCCCTTGGAGCCTCTCCAGGTGTTGGAGCATAGAAATCTCCATCCATACGAAGATTGTCTGGATGTTTTGTGACAGGGGCTCTCTGTGCATATGGGGCATCTTCACGTGGCTTTCCTTCAAAGTCACCAGCCATCTTAAGGTTATCTGGATGTTTCTTGACTGGAGCACGTTCTCCCCTTGGAGCCTCTCCAGGTGTTGGAGCATAGAAATCTCCATCCATACGAAGATTGTCTGGATGTTTTGTGACAGGGGCTCTCTGTGCATATGGGGCATCTTCACGTGGCTTTCCTTCAAAGTCACCAGCCATCTTAAGGTTATCTGGATGTTTTTTGACTGGAGCACGTTCTCCCCTTGGAGCCTCTCCAGGTGTTGGAGCATAGAAATCTCCATCCATACGAAGATTGTCTGGATGTTTTGTGACAGGGGCTCTCTGTGCATATGGGGCATCTTCACGTGGCTTTCCTTCAAAGTCACCAGCCATCTTAAGGTTATCAGGATGTTTCTTGACTGGAGCACGTTCTCCTCTTGGGGCATCTTCAGGTGATGGTGCATAGAAATCACCATCCATACGTAGATTATCTGGATGTCTTTTGACAGGAGCCCTTTCTGCATGTGGTGCATCTTCGTATGTTTTTCCAGTAAACTCACCAACCATACGAAGATTGTCTTCATGTTTTCTAACTGTTGCCCTCTCACCAATTGTTACCTGCTCATGTTCTTTTCCAATAAATTCTCCTTCCATGCGCAAGTTGTCTTCTCTTCGAATGACTTGCACTCTTTCTCCTCGAGTAATTGTGTGTTCTTCTTTTCCTTGGAATTCTCCTGTCATGTGCAGGTTGTCAGCTTGTCTCTTTACTGGAGCTCGTTCACCACGTGGAGCTTCTTCAGGTATAGGAGCAATGAAATCACCTTCCATGCGCAGATTGTCAGGATGTTTCTTTACTGGAGCTCTTGCTGCATGGGGTGCATCTTCACGTGGCTTTCCTTCAAAGTCACCAGCCATCTTTAGGTTATCGGGATGTTTCTTGACTGGCGCACGTTCTCCTCTTGGAGCCTCTCCAGGTGTTGGAGCATAGAAATCTCCATCCATACGAAGATTATCAGGATGTTTTGTGACAGGGGCTCTCTGTGCATACGGTGCATCTTCTCGAGGCTTTCCTTCAAAGTCACCAGCCATTTTAAGGTTATCTGGATGCTTCTTGACAGGAGCACGTTCTCCTCTTGGAGCCTCTCCAGGTGATGGAGCATAAAAATCTCCATCCATACGAAGATTATCAGGATGCTTTGTGACAGGAGCCCTCTGTGCATAGGGGGCATCTTCACGTGGCTTTCCTTCAAAGTCACCAGCCATCTTAAGATTATCAGGATGTTTCTTGACTGGAGCACGTTCTCCTCTTGGAGCCTCTCCAGGTATTGGAGCATAGAAATCTCCATCCATACGAAGATTGTCAGGATGTTTTTTGACAGGAGCTCTCTGTGCATACGGCGCATCTTCACGTGGCTTTCCTTCAAAGTCACCAGCCATCTTAAGGTTATCGGGATGTTTCTTTACTGGAGCACGTTCTCCTCTTGGAGCCTCTCCAGGTATTGGAGCATAGAAATCTCCATCCATACGAAGATTATCAGGATGTTTTGTGACAGGGGCTCTCTGTGCATAGGGAGCATCTTCACGTGGCTTTCCTTCAAAGTCACCAGCCATCTTAAGATTATCAGGATGTTTCTTGACTGGAGCACGTTCTCCTCTTGGAACCTCTCCAGGTGATGGAGCATAGAAGTCTCCATCCATACGAAGATTGTCAGGATGTTTTGTGACAGGAGCTCTCTGTGCATAGGGGACATCTTCATGTGGTTTTCCAGTAAACTCACCTACCATACGAAGATTGTCTTCATGTTTCTTTATTACTGCTCTTTCACCAATTGTTATCTGCTCATGTTCCTTTCCAGTGAATTCTCCTTCCATGCGCAAGTTGTCTTCTCGTCGAACTACCTGCATTCTCTCTCCATAAATAATTTTGTGTTCCTCCTCTTTTCCTTGGAATTCACCTGTCATGCGCAAATTGTCTTTTTGCCTTTTAACAGGGGCACGTTCTCCTTTTGGGGCATCTTCATGTGATGGTGCATAGAAATCACCATCCATATGAAGATTATCTGGATGTTTTTTGATGGGAGCCCTTTCTGCATGTGGCACTTCTTGACGAGGTTTCCCAGTGAAGTCTCCAACCATATGAAGGTTGTCCTCATGTTTTTTTATTTTTGCTCTTTCACCAATTGTTATCTGCTCATGTTCTTTTCCAGTGAATTCTCCTTCCATGTGCAAGTTGTCTTCTCGTCGAACCACTTGTACTCTTTCTCCTCGAATAAATGTATGTTCTTCTTCTTTTCCTTGGAATTCTCCTGTCATGTGCAGATTGTCAGTTTGTCGTTTAACGGGGGCTCGTTCCCCACGTGGAGCTTTTTCAGGTGTAGGAGCAGTGAAGTCACCTTCCATGTGCAGATTATCAGGATGTTTCTTAACTGGAGCTCTCTGTGCATAGGGAGCATCTTCACGTGGCTTTCCTTCAAAATCACCAGCCATTTTAAGGTTATCGGGATGTCTCTTGATTGGAGCACGTTCTCCTCTTGGAGCCTCTCCAGGTTTTGGAGCATAGAAGTCACCATCCATATGAAGGTTATCAGGATGTTTCTTGACAGGGGCTCTCTGTGCAAAGGGGGCATCTTCACGTGGCTTTCCTGCAAAGTCTCCCACCATCTTAAGATTGTCAGGATGCCTTTTGATAGGTGCCCTCTCTCCATGTGGTACATCTTCCTTTGGTTTACTAGCAAAGTCTCCATCCATTTTTAGATTGTCTGGATGCCTCTTTACAGATACTCTTTCACCCATTGTTACCTGTTCATACTCCTTGCCAGTGAATTCTCCTTCCATGTGTAGATTGTCTTCATGACGCACAACTTTAACTCTTTCACCTTTGATAATTCTATACTCTTCTTCTTTTCCCTGGAAATCACCAGTCATGCGTAAATTGTCAGGATGTCTTTTGATTGGTGCTCTCTCTCCATGTGGAACGTCTTCTTGTGGTTTGCCCATGAAGTCTCCTGATAGTTTAATATTGTCAGGATATTTCTTTATTGGTTCTCTGACTCCTGTAGGGGCTTTTTCATGTTCGGGGGCCATGAAATCACCCTGCATTCGTAAATTGTCTTCATGTTTTACCACATGTGTTCTTTCTCCCTGGAATTTCTGATAATCATATTCTTTTCCTGTGAAGCTGCCCTCCATTCGTAAAGAATCCTCATGTCGTTTAATTTCAGCTCTTTCACCTTTGTATATCACCTGCTCCTTTCTTGATACATCGAATTCCCCTTCCATATGCAGCTGATCTTCATGACGAACTACCTTGGCTCGCTCTCCTCTGATTGGTGTAGTGTCACTTGGTTTTCCTTCAAAATCTCCCTGGAGTTTAAGATTATCTGGATGTTTTTTGGTTTTGACTCGTTCTCCTTTAACTGGACTACGGCCTCTTGGTTTGGATTCAAAATCTCCCTCCATCTTAAGGTTGTCAGGATGCTTCTTGATTGCAGCGCGTTCTCCCCTGGGCTGAAACTCAGGCGATCGACCTAAGAAATCTCCTTCTACCTTTAGATTATCAGGGTGCTTCTTGGGAGATACACGTTCACCCTTTGTGGGGCTTTTACTTCGATCTGTACCTTCAAAGGTTCCTTCCATCTTGAGATTGTCAGGGTGGCGTTTTGGCACTGAGCGCTCTCCTTTTACTGGGCTACGACTTCTAGACCGACCTGTAAATTCTCCCTCCATGCGCAGATTGTCAGGATATCTTTTGATTTGTTGTCTGTCAGTCACTGGTATTTCTCCAGCTGGTCGAGGTTCAAAGTCACCAGACAGTTTCAGATTATCAGGATAACGTTTAATCCCTGCTCGTTCTCCAGCTGGAGCTTCATCAGTTGGCTTCCCTTCAAAGTCACCTTCCAGCTTAAGATTATCTGGGTATTTCTTCATTGGTGCCCTCTCACCAAGAGGGGCACCTTCTATTGGTTTACCTTCAAATGATCCCTCTAGAGTTAGGTTGTCTGGGTGACGTTTGGCAGGTGCTCTATCACCTTTCATCACCAAAGATTCCCTAGTCTTCCCCTCAAATAATCCTTCCATCTTCAAGTTATCTTCATGCCGGGTAATATGAGACTTTTCAGACTGCTGGTATGCCTTGTACTCCTCACTGGATCGGTTCATATACATCTCTCCTTCTAGTTTGGTCCATGTCTTCTTACGTTGTAATTTAGGTCTATCCCCAGATTTCTCATAGTATTCAGATTGAGAAGAGGACATCATAGTTTCCATTTCACCGTCAATCTTAATATTATCTTCGTGTATAAGACGTTCTGTATGGGAAAATGAATCGTATTTCTGGTATGTCTCCTTGCTAGATGTGACACTGTTGAACTCACCATCAAGTTTTAGAGAATCTTTGTAATGCCTGGTCTCTGCTCTGTCACCCTGGACAACATTGTAGTTGTTTTTATGAGTGCTGACACCTACAATATAAAAGAAAGTATTGTTATTAGTTAATGGGATGAGAAAAACTAGCCATAGACATTTAATTTAGTAATGTAGTGTCTATATATGTAAAGCATAAATTTACACACAAAAGACATGTTAATTTGTAAGTCAGATTTAATTATGTATTTATGTAAAATGTTTCTTCTCAAGTTTAAATATATACGAGTACTACAGTATACCGTACCATCAAAATCGCCAGACGGAGCTAGGTTGTCCTGTGGTCTTTTTACGACTGCTCTGTCGCCTTGACCTGGGGATCCTTTATCAGGTACAGAGAAGTCTCCTTCTGGTCTTAGGTTATCTAATGGTCTCTTGACATCAGCACGGTCACCCTTCCCGGGTGTGGTCTTTTCTGGTGCTGTAAAATCACCTTCTGTTCTTAAGTTATCAGATGGTTTTCTGACATGAGCTCGATCTCCCCTGCCAGGAGAAGTTTTTTCGGGTGCAGTGAAGTCACCTTCTGGTCGTAGGTTATCAGTTGGTCTTTTGACATGAGCTCGGTCTCCTTGGCCAGGTAAAGACTTCTCTGGGGCTGAGAAGTCTCCTTCTGGCCTTAAGTTGTCTGTTGGCCTCTTAACATCAGCTCTATCTCCTTTTCCTGGTGATGTCTTTTCTGGGTAATAAAGGTCACCCTTCAGCGTCAGGGAATCTTGTGGTCGCTTAGCTGTAAGAACTCCACCTGATACTGTCATAAATTCTTCCTTGTGACTACTCTTTCCTGTGGATAAATATATTTGTATTAAATAATGTAGCTATGTAACAGCAGGCATCATAATAAAAAGAATATCCACAGCATCTAGCTGGAAATATGAACCCGAGAAGAATCACTTTGCTGTGTTAAATAAATCTAAAATATGAACAGTTAAATAATTGGAACGATGTTAAGATTTTAAAATATTTCACAATGGTTTAAATGCAAAAACATTAATATCAACACCTTATACCATATCTACCTTCCTATTAAAATAATTATATAGCTAGGAGCAAGCAGCTGAATTTTAATACAGTATTTTATTGCACACCAGCAACTTATGCATGTGTTGTAGAAAATACAAGTGCATGACTGGTACAATAATTAGAAATGTCACAAGAAAGCTTTTGCCATAGCTTCAGTTTAACCACTTAACTGCACCAACCGAGTATTCTCGGTCGGTGGAAAACTGCGCCAACCAAGATAACTCTTTTTGATTTTTTCGTACCCATTCTAAATGTGTGCGTGGTTGGTTGTATACGAAATGGACTCTTAGGACTTCCAGTGAGAGGCAGCCATCTTGGAAAAAATTCCCAGAATGCCCTAGGGCTGGTGGCTGGGTTAGTACTGAGTGAGCAACCATGAGTGGCGCATGCGTCTCTGGCTCCCAAACACCTGTACGACGCGGTGTTGAAAAATCGCGCTCTGTCGGTGAAATTCAAACCTTAGTGTTTGAAGAACATAAGGGGCATAATATTGGTGAGGCTAGGCACAATAAGGACCTAACACAAAGGTCGGATGCAAGTGATACAGCACCTATGAGTTAACAGTTTCCGTGGTGTAGTGGTAAGACACTCGCCTGGCGTTCTGCGAGCACTTTGTCATGGGTTCGTATCCTGGCCGGGGAGGATTTACTGAGTGCAAATCCTTAACTGTAGCCTCTGTTTAACTCAACCGTAAAATGGGTACTTGGTTGTAAAAACTATTCTTCGTGGAGGTTGTATTCCAAGGACCATGAGATTAAGGACTTGCCCAAAATGCTATACGTACTAGTGGCTGTACAAGAATGCAACAACTCTTGTATATATCTCTAACAAAAAAAAAATGAGGACGATACAGCGAGTGTATCCAGTTGTAGCTCTGAGTGCCACCCTTGCCCACCTATGCTATCTCCAATTTATTTAGATGATATATAGATGAATCGTTTTCTGCGTTCAATGATGATGCATCTGATACAAGTAGTATAAATGAACAGTGTTAGTGGCTTCCATGGTGGTGTTTTCCATAGATATTTTCAAGAATAGCTGAATCTCTCCCGTGACTGATGAATACTCTTTGAGGCTGGCTGAAACTCTTCTAGACTGACAGACACTGTTTGAGGCTGGCTGAATATCTTCCTGTGTGGAACCTTACAAAGCGATCTTTTCACTACTACCTTACAAACTGATCTTTTCCTGTAATCTATTCAAGGCTACCTTACGTTTTACAAGCTTGGCTTCATACTACCTACAGGTACTAATCCCAAGGGTGTACGTGAGTGCGTTATTTGCAAGCACACAGAACAAAGAAACAGAAAGCGAAAATCTATCTGTACCTGGTGTAACGAGAGCAAAGTCGCACTGTGTACCATGGACTACTTCATTGATTATTACTCACTTCCAAAGTACTGAGTGTGTAATACAGTGTGTTACTGTGTAAATAGTGTGTGAAACCTGTACATATTGTAATTTTTGTGAATTTTAACAGGTAATATTGCGACAAACATTTATTGTGGACACATTACTGACACATGTATCACAGTTACATGAAACATTATAAACGTTCTACTGTATACATATTGTAAAGGACACAAATATGCATCATATACGATAAAAAACAAATAAAACCACATTGGAAATACATAAAACAAACAATTGAAAATATGTTTGTGGCAACACCCGGTGCTTGAATGGCCCGCGGTACCATCTCTGGGCGTGTCATGCATGTGCAACCAGCCCCTGATGACGTCACAGCACACCTTGTCCACGTCCCCACAGCCAAAGTAAGTGGAATTTGGTATTTATTTTTACATAGATATGTTCAGGGAAGGGAATTTATCATTTTAAGAAGAAAAATAATTTTTGGGGAACACTTTATTTCATGCGCACAGATGGAATTTCAGAATAAACTCTGCGCAGCACGGTGGTTAACAAAATGCACAGTAGAAGTGGAAAATGCTGAAGTATCCTGTTTTTGGTGAGTAGAAGATAATTTTTATTTAAATCTCAACATATAGCATTGTATAATATTTTCTTCACGCATCAGGACAAGGAGTATAAAACAGAACATTGTTTATATTGTAGTGAGATGAGCATCTTTGATGTGTTTCTGAAAAAGGGTAAAGCTTAAAACGAGCTATGGAAAGAGAACACTCTAAGCCTGCTAACAAGAGTCAAAAATTATCTTCTGTAACGAACTTGTGCAAAAAAAAAAAGAAGGGGGAACACAATATCTAGCACTAGGTTTTGCCAAACATAGTTTACTGTATTTGCTGGCGTATAGGATGCACTTTTCTGTGGCGAGCCCCTTAGGCTCCCTGGAGCAATTGGGCTAATGTGTGGTATATTAGACCTGGGCATTAGTCTAAGGAGTTTGACCTACCAGGGACCACACGCCAGAACCTGACCTCCTCAGAGAGATTGCAGGGAGCAATGGCCCTGGAAAACCCCTCTATGGTTGAGGGTTTTCCTTATCTGCCCTTGACCTGGGTTAGGCACCCAGAAAGGTAAGCATAACAAAACAAATCCCACATGGTAAGAAAATTACAACTAAAAACTGAAAAAAGAGGTAGAACTCCTTTCAATTCAAATGAAACAAGCAAACAAGCAAATGTCACACTCCACTGCCGTGCTGCTCGTCCACACAGCCCTCCCCTCCCTGAGAGGGGAAGGGGGGGGAGCCCCAGACTTCCCTGCACTAGTTACCCAGCACTCTAGTTCATTGGCTAATGTGGTCCAGGGCGGACGTCTTCTCTGGCCTCGATTTCGAAGGCGGTGTTTTGCCTTTGTGGTGAGCTCTGCAGTGTTGTTGTGTGGTGGCCAGGTGTTCCTCATCAGTGCCGTTGGCTTCATGTGCTTAAGGGGCTTCCTTTCCTAGGTGCACTGTGAGTACTGCCCTTGTGTGTTAGGGTTCCCTTCCCTGGTGCATTTGGGACAATCATTTCTGTAGGGGTTTTTGCTGCTCGGCATTTACCCCACCCTTGGGGTCAGCTGGGGGTTTCGTGGCCCTTGTTTGGCTTTGGGGCCTGACAGCTGAGCAGACAACACTTCAGATTCGTAGTCCTGAGGTTCCGGGTTCGATCTCCGGTGTAGGCGGAAATAAATGGACAGAATTTCTTTCACCCTGATGCTTCTGTTCACCTAGCAGTAAATAGGTACCTGGGAGTTAGACAGCTGCTATGGGCTGCTTCCTGGGAGGATGTGTAACAAACAGGAGGCCTGGTCGAAAACCAGGCAGTGGGGACGCTAAGCCCTGAAATCATCTCAAGATAACCTCAAGATTGGGTAGGGAGTGGTATCGTGCTGATTGGGGCATCAAGATGATGTGCAGCCTGCCTACCTATGCTGCGGACAGTTCCTGTTTCCTCTGGGGATGTTGTACTTTTGCGGGGTTTTTGTTTTGTTTTTGTTTTTGTTTTTCTTGCCTGGTGGGGGTCTGCCTGATGTGGCTATCGCTCCACTTATAATAATTTGATGGACCTCTGCTAGGTTCCCCTGTGATTGTACACATCGCACGAGTTTCAGTGTTTTTATCTTCCCTTGTTAGCTTTGGGTCTTAACCTGTTAGTAACACCTTGCCAAGGGTTTCCTGTAGCAGTCAATCTACGGGCCCTGGAAAACCCTGTCAGGGCTCGGTGGACCTATGGATGCATCTTCTGAGTTTCAGCCTGCCTTGTGCGGGTTCAAAGATTGCTGTGTGCCCTTGTCTCAGGGTGACAGTCATCTCTTTTGCCTCCGTCATGTTGCGTGTCTCAGGTTATCCACAGTGTCATTTAGTCTAGCCAGCCTGCTGTCTACCCTTGTGTCCATGATGTTAGGAAGTATGCTGCTCTCGCTGCGGTTTCTGGCAACATGTCTTGGATCGACATTCGGGCGCGGGGGTTTTGGAGATCGAAAAGGGTCCTGGCTGCCAGGTATCTCCTGAACATTCCGTTTCCTTCCCGGCATTATGTGGCCTTGGGTTGCCTGTTGTGGCTGTCTGTTTCTTCCTTGTCCTGAGACCTGTGGTGCTGCTGCCTCCCATGTAAGTCCCTGTTTTTACTTATCTTTGGGAAGTTAGCTTCAGGGAGCCAATGGGGCTCCCAACAGAAAACCAGCATTGAATGTAATAAAACGGCAATTTCACACACTGACACACTTCTTCCCTCCGGTCAGGGGATTTCATTGTTCAAGAACTGGAGTGGTGGGCTGCCAGCTGTGGTGAGCCTGCTCCCACTCTTCCCCTTTGGGGGGGGGAGGTGGCACTAACGAGCAGGAGTGCTAGTTGCATGAAGTGTTGCTTGTTTGCGTTCTTTCTATGGGAGTTATTTTGATCTTTTAGGACATAGATTACACAGGTTAACACAGGTCTGTTTTGATTCGCCCACCTTTCTGGGTTCTTTTCCTGTCGATGACAATTATGACATACTTTAAATGTAAAGTGCTCATAGGACATTGATCCCTGCATCTCTCTGAGGGGGGCCAGGTTCTGACTCATGGTCCCCAGTAGGCTCCTGTGACTGATGATCCCAAACTAATATGGCACATATCAGTTCGGATAACTTCAGGGAGCCTTTGGAACTCAATCAGAAAATAGCGTTTCATTACATTCAACACTGATTTTTTGCACTTATTATTAACATTATTTTCATATAGCATAACACTATCAAATATTGCTGTAATGTCATGTGCATAATCATACATGAGTGACAAATAAGTAGTGTTAAGTGTAACATACCATAGTAATCTTCACCAAGTTTTATGCTGGAAATGTCTTGTTTGGTTCTCACATCCCTACTGTCAACAACTTGATGCAATGCTTTTGTCTGAGACTCTGTAACACAAAATAATCATGACAAAGATGCACTAGATTTTGATGACCTATTATTTGTATTTGTTTTTCTCTTTAACTTTGTTTATTGTAAAGTGTGTGAACTGCATCATTGTTTGAATGTTTTAACATAACCTTATGATACAGATTGAACTTATCTGATGGATATGCTTATACACTCACACCTAATTTTTATTTTATTTGTTTTATTTTATTTATTTATATACAAGAAGGTACAGTACACTGGGTTGTGAGAGTATATAGCATTGGTGTTCTTATACATGAAATTGAAGTGTTACTATGAGCATTCATTCATCAAACTACTGTATGATGATGAAACTTAGTGGTTCTTATATGGTTTGGAATAGTTACTATTTCTGAAAGATCCCCTTAAGCTTATAACAATCCAGAGACTTTATTTACTATGCTGACATGTAATCAATGTAATTTATTAACTGAAATTTAAAATGAATGTAATATGAAATGAAATTTATTAACTATGCAGAAAAATGTAATCAATGACTATGTGTATGTAATATGAATTGCATAAAATATTCATGTAGATATTAAGGCTTAAAGTTGCAACTATATATATTACTCAGGGCCATGCAGGATATAGCTATGCCCTGTCACTCATGGTTGACACTTCCTGATGCTATATGTTTGTACACATGAATTACCTGTGGTGCTGGAGTCGTGGCTGGCCTTCACAGCCTTGCGATGGGACTCCTCCCTTTGCTGTGACATCTGTATTGTTTGCTGCATCTCTGATAGCTGTTGCTGATTCATTGATGACATCTGCTGTCTTTCTAATATTTGTTGAGTCATTGATGACATCTCGTGATGTGCTGATGACATCTGTTCTGTCTGTGATATATGCTGACTTATGGATGAGATCTGCTGACTCTCTGATATCTGTTGTCTCTCTGACATTTGCTGACTCCGTAACATTTGCTGACTCTCTGATAGTCTTTGTTCATTAAGTGAGGCTACTTGCTGACTGTGTGACCTGCTCTCGTGACTGCTTTCGTCTATACTTGTGTGCATATGTTTGTTCTCAGAAGTGCTCTCTCGCACCAGCTCTATCTGCTCGCTTTCTGACATGCTCTTCTGGGAGAAACTCTTACTCTCAGAAACTTGCTTGCTTGTCTCTGAACGGGCATTCTGCAGGAATTCATGAGAACTATTGCCAGAGATACTGACAGTCGCGGCTGTTTGAGCATGTGAGTCTGAGCTGGACAACTCGTGTGAGCTTGAGGTGATGGAAGTTGAGGAGGACTGTTCTCTGATGACAGATGAGGAAGAGTGGGAAGTGGAGGACACAAGGGAGGTGGAGCCAGCATGGCGGCGGCTGGCCAGGGAGGAGTCGGTCACTGCTTTTTCCAAAACAAAGGTAAAAACAAAGGAACGAGGAAAATAAATAAAACATGTCAAAACAAATACTTTAACTAAATTAATTATGTAGTGTACAGTACAGTATAAGCAGTGAATGACTTTCCAAAGCAATTAAATAATAAAGCAAAATGAATTATTAAGTGAATAAAGTGCTTATAAAAATTAAAAAAGTAAAGAAACTGATGATGATGATAATATCAACAGTAATTAAAGCCACTAAGAAAATTTTAATAATGCATTCAACAGAGAACAAATGAAAATTGTAAGTAAAATTAATGTTAACAAAAACGGAGCACAAAAACTTGATGAACTACTTGCTGAAGATGGTTTAGTTTTGATTTGTAGCAGCAATGTCACAGCGGATAGTGAAAATAGGTTCAAGGTGAAATGAAGGCTCTTTATGAGCTCTGTTTAGCTTTGATGATGGTAGTTAAATATAAAAAAGGTCTTGAGTCATTAGAAATAATTCTTGAAATACTGATAAGTATTCTTCTTTGATATACTGTACGGTAAAAATTTGTAATCTTTAGACCGTGTAAATATACTGTACAGTACTATTAAATATGATGTTACTGCTGTACTTAAAATGTAATGTGTATAACAGTTGGAAGGTTTACTATTTACTGTATTTGTTTAGTATGACTGTGTAGCTTGACTAAGTCTTAAGTCAATGTTTGAATGAACGAGGCGGTGAGTGAGTGAGTTTCAACAGAGATGAGTCATATCATGAGATTGGTATAGGTTGGCTACTCACCAGTGTAACCACCGCCGCCGTCTCCCTGGGTCCGTAGTGCCGAGCTGGCTCCCCCGGCCCCCAACACTGCCTGTAACACAAAGACAATACACTTTGAACCCTTGGTGAGAACACTCTGGGAGAACACTTTGAATGTGGGCAGAGTTGAGGATATGGGTTTAGAAGATATAGTGAGAGAAACAGAAACAGAAAGAGAAATGAATAATAAAACTTCATTATAAGAACCTTGCAAAGAAAGAAAGTAAAAATGATCTGCTAATTTTTGAGGCAATGATTGCTAAACAGACTGGCAAGGAGAAGGATCTTAACATTTCCTACATAGGTAGGTTAGGTAAGCCTGATGCAAATCTGGTAAGCAAAACCATCACAATTTTTTTACACAGAAGGAAGATATTCAAAAGTGCATATAAACTAAAAGATTTAGGATGTTATCACAAAGTGATATCTCTTCAGACATCACAGCTCAACAGCAAAAAAATTCCAACATACTTTTAGACACACTAAGAAAGTTAATTTAAATTAAAAGGCACAGACCAATATAGAAAGAGTCAAAGCTAAGGACAAGGAGAATGCAGTTGATTACGACAGTGGATGGAGAAGAGGACATAGTGCTTCACCCAGTCAGGGAGAGCTAACTCTTATATTTCTCTGAAGACAAACAGGCACAAAACCAAAATGGCAATGTAGGAAACAATAGTGTGCAAAATGTTGGGGCACTCTCTCACCCACCCAAGAACAATGTCAGGTGTTTGAATGGTTTCTGCACAAATATCAGAAGCTTAATAAATAAATTTGATGCACTCTGTGCATGTGTAGAGGCTAAGAATCCTGATATCATTAGCTTCAATGAAATATGGGAAATAAAATGGTAGCAAAGTAACAGGGTATGCAGCAGAGCAGACACAGCAACAGCATAGAAAGCTGATGATCTGTGCAATGTGATCAGTGAAACAGTGGAAAATCAAGCCTTTATAATGAGGGACTTTAATCATGAGATAATAGAGATTGGGTGAATCTAACGTCACAAGCGGGAGGAGAACAAGTTCTTGACCTGGTACAGGATGTATGTACTTTCTCATACAGAATATGACAGAGCCCACCCTGAGGTAATAGCATTCTAGATCTTGTGCTTACATCACAAGAGGGCATGATCAATCAAATGCAGGTAGGGAAAAAGCTCACACCTTCTTGTAATCACACTATTTTAAGATGGATTTCATTTATAGAAACCCTTGTAAAGATCCAGGAAGATAAATATATATACTACCCTCAACGAGACTATCAACGAGTACTCTCTCTACTACGTTTTGCCTGAATACCACTAGGACCTGGTTGTGGTTCAGTGCTTGTTTGTCTCACTACAAATTTGTCAAGAGACATTTGTTTTTCCCTTTGTTTTAACATTTGTCTGTAATGATGCATCAGTGTCATTGAACAGGTTAAGGTAACGATCTACGGTACTGCAGCTTGATTTGGGTGAGTCGTTTCAGCAAAGGTTTGCAATTCTTCCCATGCTGCACACATTTTCTTAATTGTTGAAGAAGAGACATTCTGTACTCTTGTTTCTGCTATCTGATTTTAGAAAGAATGCCATCTGTTTTATAATTTATTTTTGCTATATTGTATGTTAAATGTGGCCCTGGAAATTCAGCTTGTTATCAATGAAAACACCAAGGAATTTACCATCTACTTTGTTACTAATTTGGATATTGTTAATTCTTAGATTAATTTGATCTGAGAATGTATTACCAAACAAAATATAGCAGGTTTTGTCAATGTTAAGGGTGAGTTTGTTAGCAGTTAGCCAAAGCTGGACTTTATTTAGTTCAGTATTCACTGTATCATTCAGAATAAGAAGGTTAAGACTAGAAAAAAATTAAAGTTGTGTCATCAGCAAATAAAACTGGCATTAGGTTTATTTGGAAATTCATTAATGTAGATGAGAAAGAGGAGAGGGCCAAACAGACTACCCTGTGGAACACCAATGTTGATGGGTAGGGTGGGAGAATTGGAATCATTCACAGAAACATACTGGAGCCTGTCACTAAGGTCTGACTGAAGGTATTGAAGGGAGTGACCTCTGACTTCATAATGATATAATCTAAGAAGGTTGTGGTGGTTGACAGTGTCATAAGCTCTACATAGGTCAACAAATAACCCAATAGGGAATTGATTTTTATCAAGAGCTGCATATATTAATTTAATCATACTAATCAATGCAAATAAACTTTAGATTTATGGTACTGACTAGTTTCACTGGGTGATTAAGTTGGCTATTTTTAAAATTTGAGGGGGGCAAATATGTATAGATATAGTGTACTTTAGGTGTGTGAAGTGGCCTGGGTATATTGACTATTTTTCATGTAAGGGTTTACCTGTGAGTCCTGCGAGGTAGTGTGAGCGCCACTTGTAGAGAGCCTTCCCTGTTGCTGCTGCTGCTTCTCTTGGGTGCTGAAATGCTCGTCCTTGACGGAGAGAGAGTTGGTGAATTGCTGTAAGTCCTCCTTTGTTTTATTTGAAGAGGAGCTTATATGCTGCTCAACTTGTGATGTGGAAGCATCCTGCAACTTGGTGCTGCTGGAACTCTCCTGGACGGTAGAGCTCTGTTGTACACTTGAGGATGAGCTCTTCTGCACACTGGAGAAGGAGCTCTGTTGTACATTAGAGGAACTCTGCTGCTCAGTTGAAGACGACGTATACTGTTGGCCAGCTAAGGTGTTGGCATCCCGTGCCTCTGAGATTTCTGTGGTGCCTCCGCTCTCGCTCCTGTAAAGAAAGATTTGTTGTTAGTGGCTCTATGATCTTTGGAAGCAGTGCACACCTTTCAAGGCAATGCACTCAACACTTGCAGTGCAACCTACACAATAATCAAAGACCCAAATCTTGTAATGTCCAATACTGTAGTTAGTAATCAGTACAACCCTGCATTCATATGCAGGGTATTGGTTGTATATACTGTACATACCATATGTTCTTTGCATGATATAAATAATGAAATCGTCACATATTGCTACACATAACTTGCTCCACAGACAACAGTGCAGACATTCAAGAAACCAGACAAATTATTGTTTACTCCATGATAAGCTTCAGGTTGATTCTAATGCTGTACACACACAGGTGCTGCTCACTCAGCATGGTGCTGGACATAACACTTAATATGTACGGGAGACCCCACAAGTCTAGAAACAAATGCAGACTATACAAAAACACACTGTCATTCAGTACACATAAACACCAATGTAACTTATAACGCCATGCACACTGTAGCTGCTAGTAATATAAGTCCTGAACACTGTACCTGCTAGTAATAAAATAAATAAATAAATAAATAAATAAATGTTTATTCAGGTAAGGTACATATATACAAGAGATTTTACAAAAATTGATAGATTTATAGATAGAGCTAGTACATACAATGCCTAAAGCCACTATTACGCAAAGCGTTTCGGGCAGGAAAAACATTAATGACTAAAACTTAATACAGTACTAATTGAGTATAAAGAATAAAATGTGTTGAGAACAAATAAAAATAAAAAAGGGGGGAACATGGCTGAAAAAGCAGCACAAATACAATTAGGTCGACAAACAGCGTTGTTTAAAAAAACAGACATGGGTTAACAAGAGAGGGGTAAGGTAGGTTACAGGGAATTTATTAGGTAGTGCTTCGTTTTTATCTTAAACTGGTTGAGAGGTATAGTCTTTAACATGATTGGGAAGGTCATTCCACATTCTGGGTCCCTTGATTTGTAGAGCATTTAAATAAAATAAAATGTTTATTCAGGTAAGGTACATACATACAAGAGATTTTACATAAATTGATCGATTTATAGATGGGGCTAGTACATACAATGCCTAAAGTCACTATTACGCAAAGCGTTTTGGGCAGGAAAAACATTAATGACTAAAACTTAATACTAATTGAGTATAAAGAATAAAATGTGTTGAGAACAAATAAAAATAAAGATAAAAAAGGGGGTAACATGGCTGAAAAAGCAGCACAAATACAATTAGGTCGACAAACAGCGTTGTTTAAGAAAACAGACATGGGTTGACAATAGAGAGGTAAGGTAGGTTACAGGGAATTTATTAGGTAGTGCTTCGTTTTTATCTTAAACTGGTTGAGAGGTATAGTCTTTAACATGGTTGGGAAGGTCATTCCACATTCTGGGTCCATTGATTTATAGAGCATTTCTAGTTTGATCAAGTCGTACTCTTGGAATATCAAAACTGTATTTATTTCTGGTGTGGTGCTCATGGGTTCTGTTACAACCTTCAATGAAGCTTTTGTGGTCAGGATTGGCATTGCAGTTCAGCGTTTTATATATGTATGATACACATGAGAGAATGTGCAGTGACTTAATATCTAACATATTCAGAGATTTGAGTAGGGGTACCGAGTGATGTCTGGGGCCAGAGTTGGATATTGTCCTAATAGCAGCTTTGTGTTGAGTAATTAGAGGACGTAAATGATTTTGGGTAGTAGAACCCCAAGCACAAATACCATAGTTGAGATATGGATAGATGAGGGAGTAATAGAGAGTCACCAGGGCATGGCGGGGTACATAATATCTGATCTTAGAAAGAATACCAACAGTTTTTGAGACTTTTTTTTATATATTTAGAATGTGTCCCTGGAAATTCAGCTTGTGGTCAATGAGAACGCCAAGGAATTTGCCATCTATTTTGTTACAAATTTGGGTATTGTTTATTCTGAGATTTATTTGATTAGAGGACTTATTGCCAAACAGAGTATAGAAAGTTTTGTCAATGTTAAGGTTGAGTTTGTTGGCAGTTAGCCAAAGATGTACTTTATTTAGCTCAGTATTTACTGTGGCATTTAGAGCAAGGGGGTCTGGACTGGAGTAAATGAAGGTTGTGTCATCAGCAAATAGAATTGGTTTGAGGTGTTGGGAGGCATTTGGAAGGTCATTAATGTAGATGAGAAACAGGAGAGGACCAAGTATGCTGCCCTGAGGAACACCGATGTTGATGGGTAGGGTGGGAGAAATTGAATTATTCACAGAAACATACTGGAGCCTGTCAGTAAGGTAAGATTTCAGGTATTGCAGGGAGTGTCCTCTGACTCCATAATGATGTAATTTAAGAAGAAGGTTTTGGTGGTTGACAGTGTCAAAAGCCTTACGCAGGTCCACAAATAACCCAACAGGAAACTCATTTTTATCAAGAGCTGCATGAATGAAGTTAATCATATTAATAAGTGCATCATTAGTGCTTTTTGGGGAATAAAATTCATGTACACTGCAGCTTCATGTAATCAAATTCCTGTACAATGTAGCTGCTTGCAAAATAATTCCTGTAGACTGTAGCTGCTAGTAATAAAGTAATAAAAATAAAATTGATGCAGATGTCGAAATGGGTTGACCCCAAGCTGGAACCTTGCAGTACCACATTTACCACATTCCTCCAATTTGATTTGTTTCCAATTATTTCTTTCTTTATTTCATTCACTGTTTAATCAATTCTGGTACTTCACCATTTATTCACTGTGCTTATAAATTCCTTGCCAGTCTTTCGTGTGGTACCTTATCCAAGGCTCATCTCTGGATTCTCAAGAATAACGGGTTCGATTGGTGGGACAGAAATGGTTAGATGCATTTCCTATTACCTAATGCACCTGTTCACTTAGTAGTAAGTAGGTACTCAGGAGTTGGTCAGCTTAATGTGGGGTTGCATCCTGGGCAGAGACAGTAATTCAACCTTTGGGTGAGACCTCAATATAAGCCTAATATGTATAATTAATAATACATAATTAATAATTCACTGTGTCAGGGGACAGGAAGCTAGAGTGCATTCATACAGTTTTTTATTTATTTATTTATTTATATGTACAAGAGTTCTTACATTCTTGTACAGCCTTTAGCATTCACAGCATTTCGGGCAGGTCCTTAATCGTAATGTTCCCTGGAATATGACCCCACCAAATTGTTTAATAGCCAGGTACCCACTTTACTGTTGGGTAAACAGAGGCTACAGTTAAGGATTGACGCCAGTAAATCCTCTCCGGCCAGGATACGAATCCAGGACAAAGGGCTTGCAAAGTGCAAGCTGGTTGGGAGCAACTGGTCGGGTGCATATTTTTCGTGCAGAGAATTTTCCGCCCCTGTTGCATTCGGACGGTACTGAGGATGGAAAGGGTACTGTGCCTGAGGCGCCTGATTGCCTGTCTGCTGCTCTGCCTGTTGAGGCACATTCTACAGCCTGTGTGCCACACGTCTGGTAACTGCTGTGGCCCTAGGGGTGGTTGAGCCGGTGTGTGTGGGTGTTGGGCCGTCACCTGCACTGCGTGTAGTGAAGGATGTTCCAGTGAAGGTCCATGTCCCGCCCCCGCCTGTGGATGTGGTACCAGCTCCCGGGGACGCCGGTTCTGCTGTTTTGGAGGGGGGGGGGGCTTCGGCAGGGGGAGGTGCCTGCCGTGCCTGTGTGTGTTGGCGACTGTAGTTCTGATGCTATAATCCCTATGCAGAAGTGTGCGTGCCAGTGTTCCGAGGTTGTTTCCCCTGAATGATGTGGACTGTGCGGGCAATGTGGCCTCTGTGGACTCTTCGGACGGTGAGGGTGTGGCCCGTGTGGATGTGAAGATGATGGCCGTGCCTGGGGAGGGGCCTGGAGAGGGGCCTGGTGGGAGTGGTGTGGTGCGGCCTGTCTCGAAGCATTCACGGCAGGCTCAGAGTGTGTCTCCCCTTTGTGGTGTGCTTTGGGAGGCGGTGGGAGTGTATATGGTACTCTAGCATCCCCCATTTTGACGCCACGTCCATGGCGGGGTGTCGCTCCTCTGTTGGGGCTGTGAGGGGCTCCGAGTTGCTACCTGTGCCCCCCCCCCTCCCAACCTGCACCTCCTGCTGTTGGATCCCCGCAGTGAGGGAGGGATTGCCCCCCTGATGATCGGGACCTGGTCCTGGTGTTGAGGAAAGATGTGCGCCGGGGGGCATCGGCTCCTGTGCCCTGTGGTGGGGTCGATGCCGCACCTGCATCCCCTGCGGTTTCCCCTCCTTCATTGTCCCGGTCTGGGGAAAGCCCTGCCTCGGCTGCCGGGATCACGTCCCATGAGGGTCAGGTGTTGGGCCCTTATCAGGCTGCCCGGGTGCTTCCGATTCTGTGGTGCTCTTCCACTACCTGGGTGTCGCTGGTGAAGGAGTTTGTTTATAGGGTGTGGATAAGCTGTAACACCCATGACCCCTTTTCCATGAGCTATATCACCCAGGGAAGCCTTCTCCAAGAGGTCAGCCGAGATGACCTCTGGATCGCCTTGCAAGTGATTACAAATTCCTGGGTTAGTCTTAGTCAGCTAGTTTCAAGTATGTAATATTTCATGATACTCTTGTCAAACATTGTAATGGAATTAGACCCCAGATTCTTACGTGTAAACATCCATGGATCTCCCCCTTTTAGCCAGGTCAGAGGTCAGTCACACACGTAATTAATAATTCCCCTCCTGGAAGAAGTGTATGGTGAATGTCACACAAACTTAATGGAAAATTCTTGAGTGTTTGTGAACGTGTGGCCCGACCTCTTGCATCTTGGTGTAGGTAGCAACAACAAATCTCTCCCCCCTTTTTGTGTTTATATATACCCCTGTATGATAGGAGAAAGAGGGCCAGACATCAGGGTCCAGAGTGGGTCTGTGAAGAACATCACACAGCCAGGGAGAGACAGTGAATCCACCAGATTGAGAGGCAGAGAATGGTCTTAAGGTAATGTGTGTGATCTTTGATACGTTTCCATGTCTGAATTACTTTAACAAT